CTGGTAGGCTGGCCTCAAACCTGCGACCCTCTTGCCTCGGCCTCTGAGTGGGAAGCCTCTGTTTCCATCAGGTAAGTGAAATGTTTGTGGCAATTTTTTTTTTTAATAACAAGGGTATTTTTGTCTCAACCCTTATGTATTAAAACATATTTTAATAATCACTATAAAATTTAATGGCAAAGGACAGGAAATTCATAAAGTGGTTTGAATAAATAAATCATATAAAGCCTCCACAAATTGGCTGGCATCAAAAAGGGACAGAAAAATTTAGAATTAGAGGAGCTGAAGAAGCAAGAACACGATTCCCTTTGTCCTCCTGGAGTTTCTAAACAGATCCACTGTATATAAGTAAAGGTAATGTTGAGGGAATTAGAACTCAGGAGGGGCCCAACGCTCTGTGCCCCTAAGTTTTACCATCCCTTTCCAGAATTGTTTTCGATGTTCTCTTTAGTAAAAGGTTCTGGAAGAGCAAGGCACATGCAGACATTCTCAGTACCTGCTGGCCAATTTAACCACGGAGAAAAAAAACCACCCAATTCTCAAAATATCTGAACACTAAGAAACGAAGCTCTAGGAAGTGATGGGGTAACATTCTGCCATGGTATCCAGGAAGGGAAGACATCTCTACGGCATTTACACCTGAAACTTTCAGGGGGCTGGTGGACTAGTAGCTCCTGAGAGGGCTGGAGTAACAGTAGACAGACACTATGAAGTGGGGTGCTGCCAGGGGAGCTTCTGCTCTCCGGGGTCAGGGTGACCATTTCTCCTCGTCACAACTGTAAATTCTTTCCCAGCCAGTAGACTAAGGGCGCCCTTCCCCTCAGCAGCCCAGCTCCCCCCCCCCCCCCCACTTGTGTTTTTCACAATCAATTTTGGATGATTCAGGTAGAACCTTCTGAGTGAAAGATAGAGGGTCCTAATGTTTGCCCTTTAAAATTTAATGGCAAAGGACAGGAAATTCATAAAGTGGTATGAACCCTTCTAATCTGGCCAGCAAAGGCAGAAGTAGTCTGGTTCTGGATGAGAGCATGACCTGAGAACCCTCTCTCAAGTATATGTGACTGTGTGTGTGTGTGTGTGTGTGTGTGGGGAGTGGGGAGAGGTGGGCTGTACATGGGGAGGGGAGGGGAGGGCTGTAGGTAGGGTGGGATACAGGGCTGGAAGTGGGCATTGAGGAAGCATAAGGACATGCTTGAAGAGATAAAGCTGTCAAGGTGGTAGAAATGAATGTTTAAAGAGACTGTACTTCATTGTTAGATGGAGGAAGTAAAAGTACTAAAATGTAGGGCTGGTCCACAAAATGACACTATGTTCCAGCGGGTCTGGAACAGTAAATTCAGTAAAAAGTGGAATTCACTGAATTTAAATTCAAACTAACTACCTTTGCATTTAGCTCAAATTACTTCTTAGATTTATATGTCATGTTATTGAACAGTTGTTAACGGTGACATTCAGAAAGATCAAAACTGCTCTGCTCAGATTAGTGACTCAAAACCATCACGACTTATGGGAGACAGGCCTCTAAGTGTTTCCTGAGTTTCTGTAAGCAAGAACTGACTGCCTTCTTTCAAGGCCAGGCGCTGACACACTGGGACACACAGCCTGGGATCTACTTGTGGGTAGCTCACCATCAAACACTCCTTTATATCTTCAAAGGTTTATAACCTATGAACAATAAAAATAATAAAAATGGCAGGGGCAATGGCGAATACATGGGAAATTTGGATGTGGCCAACAGAGCCAAAAATACCTGACTTTTTATAGAAAAATTTCCCTCTATTCTGGATTATCTTTCCAAGCATGTCGTCGGAGTGAGTAGCCTTGAAACTAGTTTCCCTCCCCAGGCATGAGCAGGTCCATCTCCTGGTAAGAGGGCCTCCGAGAGTCACATGAAGATGATGGGACTCTGGCTACTGCTGCTGTTACAACAGCTGTCTTTTGTTCCTGACAGGAATCTCTGCCTCTGTCAGCATTTACCGGGCCAGCTAACTTGGTAACTTGTATGTAAGAAAAGGAAAAACAAAATCTCAGCTCCTTCCCAAATCTAATTCATTATTCAAAGAATTAATCTGGATTTGAAATTTTGAAAAGGCCATACTAGATATTTTTATGTGATTCAATGCATCTGTAGCTAATATATAAGACCAAATTTGGGATGGAAAAATAAGAAGGATCAAAAGTTGTATCGGAAGGAGTCACAATGATTCATGTATATAATCCCAGCACTTAGGAGACTGAGGCAAGAGGGTGGCCATGAGTCTGAGGCCAGCTTGGGCAAATAATGAGTTCCACGACACAGGGTGAGAGCCTGTCTCAAATAAAACAACAAAACCCCAAATGCACAAACAAAGTATATTCAGAGGACGTCTAGATCTTTTTAATAACGTTACCTTGTATGATAAAGTTTCCTTGAATTTTTCGCTAGAATAGGAAACAAAAAGGAATTAGTTACCACTTTAAAGAAGGTCAAATAACCTGAATTATAAATAAAAATATGTACTGTATCTGAAGAGTATTAAAGGTTATTCCAAATGAAGAACCGCGTCAGTTTGAAGTGTGTTTATGGGAAGATAACAGCAGAGCATCAGGATGTCACGAGTTTTAAAGAGTCTACTCCCAAGTCTGTTAGACAACCACTTCCAGATTTTCTCCTGACACACACACACTTTCTGGTGCTGTCCTGTGTGGTTTTGTTATGATTCAGGTGTGGCAAGGTCACTGGATCAGGAGGCAACCACCACTGAAAAGATACTTTATCCCTCACAATTCCCCAGAAAGGAGTGGCATGCCACGCAGGATATTGTAGGGATGTGCCATGCCATTGACGAGGCCGAGGGAGTGCGGTGACATACGGGCCTTTACTGCTCCTTTTGTGGGAAGGAACAGTGAGGTTGGTAAACAGACACAAGACAGACTCATTTCACCCTCTTTAATGGGCTCTGGAATGGAGAGCCCCTAACTGCCTGGCACTGAGCTGGGGTATTAGGGCACAGGGAAAGCTGTGTGGAAGAATAAAGCTTGACAAAAGATGTTGTTACAGATAGGGCTCTTTATTGGTTGTTTTGTATATGTATGTTGTAGACAAGTTGCTTATTTAGATGTCAAACATAAAAAAACCCCAGAAATCAAAGCTGTCATAACTGTTAAATTTCACACAGTCCCTTACAGTGTTCTATTGACTAATTAAGAATAGGCCTGTGTATATGATATAAACTTCATTAGTATCAATTAAAAATAATTTGTGTTTTTACATAATTTAGGAACAATGGACTATAAAGTCACACTTCTGCCTTTGGTGAATTAGCTAGTTCTCATACACAAAGAAATCAATGTTCTAAATAGTTCCAAGGACACAGAGCAAAATGACAGTCAATCCACAAGGCTATAAAAAGGGTGACATGAAACTGAGATTTTTAAATCAGTAAACTAGGATATAAATCTGACCAGGCCAAATTAATATTCTTACACACCTCTTAGACTTACATATTTCTTCATACACTATAAAAACCATACATTTTATCAGGTTTGAACTGTTCAATAGGCCTCAAATTATACATATGTAAATATATATATCTCCTGTCTGTCTGTCTTTCAATATTTCCTTTGGTTTTCTCTCAGTTTGTGAATTGTGCCAAGAGCAAAATAATGAAAGAAAAAAAGATTATTTCATACTGTTACTTATATTAAAGACTAAGTAAATTCTAATTAAAAATTTCTAAGGTTTCCAAAAGTAATGACTGATTTTGTGTCCTAAGAAGCTTTTTTTAAAACGTAGGACAGAAGGTCCAACACTGATATATTTAGCTTCTGATTTTTAGTAACTATAAACCAGAGAGTGAAATGTCACACAGGGTTGTTCTCCGATAGAAGTGGTGAGAATTAAAATTTCTTCCTTTCTATGTGGGATAAGAAGGATCATAAAGATGGCTATCAAATCTAGACAACACCTGCAAATACTACTTATTATTATTTTTAAACAACACCCTACACTTTAGTTTATTTACTTTTTGTGCATGTGTGTATGTGGGTGGGTGTGAATGCCATGGCATGTGTGTGGAGGTCAGAGGGTCCAAGGGATCAAGCTCGGGTTGTCTGATTTGGTTGGCAGATGTTTTCATCCCCCGAGCCATCCTGGAGATGCTATGGATGCCATGTAACTACTAGCAACAATTCACATTTATGGACTTACTCTATGCCTTCTTACTTTTTCTGTTGTTTGATTACAGAGACAGTCTTACTCTGTGCCTAGGATGGTTTTGAACTTGAGGCAATCCTCCTACGTCAGCCTCCAAAGTGTTAGGATTCTAGGCATACACTTGACCTCTTCACCACTTCTAAGTAATATACATATCGCTATTAAATGCTCACCCAAGCCCTTGCAGTAGTTCCTGCTACAGCCTCATTTTGTACAGAGGAAAACAGTAACTTGTCTGACGTTAAACAACACACAGAGTAGTAAGCAGCCAGTACTGCACCTGGTCAGTATATTTCTAGACTCTAAACACTAGGCCGTTACACTCCACTGTCTCTTACAAAGGATGGTTCTGATTTCATTTAGAGGAACACCGGGAGGTGCAGAAGCCAGCTGACTTGCTCCTAAACAGACTTGCTTCTAACTCGATCTGAAAGAAAAGGCAGGGACAGACAGAGGAGAGCCAATCCTCTTAATCCTGTTCATAAGCAACACCTGCCACATTGGAAAAGGTAAACAACCTCAAATTCAAATCTCACTGCAACCTTATTGATTTCTTTTAGTTTTTCGGGACAGGGTTTCTCTATGCAGCCCTGGCTGTTCTGGAAATGGTTTATGTAGACCAGGCTGGCCTCGAACTAACAGAGATCCACCTGGCTCTGCCTCCCAGGTGCTGGGATTAAAGGCGTGCACTACTACCACCCAACCGACTCTAACTGCATCTTTATTAAACAAGTCTCGTGTAGCAACTTACTCCCACATTGGTGTCTTAGGTAAAACACTAAATGTCACCTTTTGGGGAAATTAAACTTGGATGTGTTCTGAATGAAGCCATAACAGCATGGGCACGTGATGAAGGAAGCCCGCGTTTGGATGCAGTGCTCAATCACCATATCTGTCGCCACTCCACAAGCATGCAGCGCCACCTGGAGAACAGAACCAGACCTGAGCATTAGGTGTCTTAACTAAATTCAGAGTATTTCAAAGAAATCAACTCAGGACAAAGAGCTGACACAGGAAGCGAGATGAGCCAGAGCATCTTCAGTAGAGAGCAGCATGCACCTAAATACTGCTGAAGGTTTTGTCAAAGGATTCAACAGCAACCCAAAGTGGATTACTGAGCAAAGATGGGGAGATTTGAGCATTCATAAAAAACAACAACAACAAAAAACCCCAGAATGGATGAAGTATTTCAAATATCAGATTTATGAGCCAATAATGATACTTCCAAAATCCCAAATGAAAAAAAATACCTAATTAGTTATTTTTGGTAAATAGCCAGCTCATTTTGATAAATGGAAAATACTGGGAAGATTTTTTTTTTTAAACTATGTGCACCATATCTCTGGGTAACCATCTGTTGATAATGGAATGATAAACTAAATTAATGCCATTCTGTAGTTTATTTATATAAGGCAGGGAGGGTCAATGATTACAAACGCTGCTAATGCAGAGACAAGCAGACATACCACTAGCACCTATGACCAGTCTAACCCCAAATTGAGGCAGAATCTAATTGTTTTTCCAGTCTAGACTTTTTTTAAATTTCAATTTGCTTTTTTAAAATTTATTTTATTTTATGTGCATTGGTGTTTTGCCTGCAAGTATGTTTGTGTAAGGGTTATCAGATCTTGGAGTTACAAATGGTTGTGAGTCACCATGTAGGTGCTGGGATTTGAATCTAGGTTCTCTGGAAGAGCAGCCAGTGCTCTTAACTGCTGAGCCATCTCTCCAGCCCCTGCAGTCTAGATCTTAATTGTTAAAACTGAGACACTATAGAGGCCAGGTAAATAAGTGGAACAGAAGTATGTTATCAGTAAGATCCACATGTGGAAAACTGTAAAGGATAATTAACAACACTGCAAATAAATCCCAGGGAAACAAATGAGCCAGGGATTGTCCCCTAAAGATGCTGCATTTAATTCCTAGAACAGAACGTGCAGCCAAGGCAGAAAAGACATTTGCAGATGTGACTGTGGTTACAGTTCAAGATTATCCTCAACAACATGGGCAGCTTCAATCTAACTACATGAGGTCTTAAAAGCAGAGAGTTTTATAAGGGAGGAGCCTAGAAGATAGAACAGGAGGTCAGGAAAATGGAAACCCAAGCCTGGACTGCCATCGAAGGCTTCCACAGAGGGCAACCAGGGAATGTGGGTGGCCTCCAGAAGCTGAGGACACTTGGCCCACAGCCAGAAGGGAGACATAACTAGATGAAACCACATTCTACTAAGTACCTCAGTGAGTCCCCACCATGGCACCTTAGAGCATCCAGGCAAGAGGCAGCATGACTGGCATCTTATGATCTAGATTTCTGATCTACAGAACCGTTAGTTGACAAATATATGTTATGTTGAGATGCCTGGTTTGTGGTGACTTATCAGGGCATGAATAGAAGAGGAAAGCCATTCACATTAACCATCCATTTTAATTTTTAAGAATTAAAATTTTTTAAAATAAAATATTGCAAATAAAAATGATTACACTCTGAAATTAATCAGACCCAAAGCCTATACATGTCAATTTTTCTGTCATCTTTCAGTTCTGGCCTGGGTCATCTTGTTAGGCCAGGAGGTGAGGGCAGAGCCTTGTCCTTCTAGCCCGTTCACAGGGGTCAGGATGCTGCTGGTCCTCTCGCCGCAGTAACTTACAGAGCTTCTGCAGCAACGTGAATGTGAGTGACTGTGTGGAGCAATTTATCTTTTATTTCGATCATTAAAAGCTTAGAGTTTCAGGAATGAAATAACTTATTCATTCACTATTTCATTTATCAAAAAATCTCTAAGGTCAACCTATTTATCAATATTATGGTCTTTGTGAAGAATAAACTATCAAAATTGTGGTTCCTATTCTATGTTCTGTTTTAGTGCCAATGGAATCCAAAGGACTGAATCTATCAATCAACTTAATTATAGAAGTTTGAACAGACCTAAAATTCTGGTGCTAACTAGCATGTGGCTCACTGTGTTGGGCAGCACACAGAAGCATAAACAGAGCCGAGCACGACACAGGCAAAAGCCCAGAAACACTTAGAAGATCCAGTAACACACGGTGGGATGTTGTGCCCTTCAATAGGGTGCAGAGCCCAGCATGGTGTATACACATGTAATCCCAACACTTGAGAGGCAAGGCTAGGTGGATCAGGACCTCAAGGTTATCCTTGGCTATATAGTGAGTTCAAGGCCAACCTGGGCTACATGAGACCTGTCTTAAAAAACAGAAAAACAAACAAAAATAACATAAGTATAGACAGAAACATTAAAAGACAGAAAGGTGGGGGAGTCAAGAAGTCTTCTGGAGGAGGTGACATTTAAGGAGGGTCTTGTCGAACAGAAAGGATTAAAGAAAGAAGAAAATGGAGACTATCACAGGAACCTGATATCAATCAAATAGTCAAGAACAACTGAGTATCCAAACCCAACTGGTATCTACAGCACAACCTGAGGCTCAGGGAACATTGCAGAAGATGAGGTGGAAATACTGCAGGAGCCATAAAAGTAGACCAGCTGCTGTGAGACAGTGTGCTCTGATTACAGTACCCATGAAACCGTAACTACATGGTCTCCTAAACAAGATCTATACAAGGAGAGCCAACACAGATGCGGAAAGCCTCTCAAATCCCTAAGATGAAGAACTACAGGTAACCAGTGGCTGCTAAGGGAAGTAGACTCTGTCTTCTCCAAAGAGCACGCCCTGGACAGGTTATCCATTCTCAAGTAGTCATCCTAAACACATACAAGCAACACTAAATGGACCCAGTAGGCTGGATTCATATATACATACATATTACATGTATATATGTACCAATAATTAACAATGAAGAGGTCATAAATTTGAAAGGAATTTGATTGGGGAGACATGGAAGGAGGTGGAAGGGGTAGAGAGGGTGGTGTGGAAATGATGCAAATACAGTACTCAAAAATACCAATACATTTTAAAATAAATTAAAATAGCATTAATACTACACTTTTAAAACAATCTTATTAAAAGCATCCTTTAAATTTATAGTAATCAATACTTATTCAAATCAGGGGTCATGAAAAATTCTAAAAACCTTTTTTTGGATGCTTATTTTGGAAAAAATGTATTTTCTTTATGATGTATATTAGTCATTAAAATCAAAACCAGTATTAAGAAAGTGGTATTCTTGTAATAATGAAATACTTGTTTTGAAGGAAAAATACAAACAACCCATGACTAACAATGGTTCTATTTATTTAGTTAGTTTTTGACTTTATAGTGGTGCAAAGGTAAAAGACATTCAGTGAGCACCAGGTCTGAAACTTGATCCTGGCTAACAGGACTCCCGATGAGCCTCACTCTGGTGCTGGACAGCAGCACAGCCCAGGTCTTAGTCAGCCAGCCATGTGATCACAAGGCACATGAGCAGTTCCCTACAGCATTTGGTGTAGCTAACCTATGATATTCAGTAGATTAGTGTATTATATGCATTTTCTACTTATGACAGTCTATTATTGGCTTATCAGGATATAAGTCCATAAAGTAAAGGAGCATGTATCCATGACACATGAAAAGAAATACACATGTTTATAATTTTTAACATGTATTTCACATATTTATTTCTATATAGATTGCCTAGATATTTGTGAATATAAAAATAGTATATTAAATATAGTCTATTAAAACAGTAAAAATAATAAACAAAAAATCATTAGATAGCACATAGGGGCATCCAAAGTAATTAAGGAAGGGAAAAATCCATGACAGGTATCTAATAATGAAATATGGAAAAACAATACTGACTTCAAAAGGACACATATATTTCAACCGATGTTGCTGAATCATGAACTTGGAAATTATAAAATTATCATATCAGAATGACTCGACACCTGTAGCTACAAAGGACAAACAGAACCAGGACCAATGAGGTGAAAATGTCGTGTTTGGGAGGTGAGTACAGGGCAGCAATATCCTGCTATTTCAAACATTTGTTTCACATCTACAAAGGACATAAATTGTATGTATGCCTTTTAGTTGAAAAAAGCAAAGCAAACCTTCACCATCTTCAGCAGTCAATGTTTAAGACATGAAATTTAGGGCACAAAAATAACAGCTGCTCCAGAATTCTGCGCTGCAGATGTGGGTAACAGTTCTACCCAGTAATCCAGGAACACACAGTGGGGATGGGCAGTGACCCAGCAATCCATCCAAGTGCTTTCAAAAAGACGTAGAGATCTGTTACAGTTACAGCTGCATTATGAAAGTAAGACGGATATGCTTAATAACTAGGAACATTTATGAAAATGTCCAGTTAAAGAAGGATCTAGGTTGTACTGGCTTCCCAAGGCTCATAGATGCATAAATCAGCATTTGTATGTGTGCATAAATACGTAAAGACCAAAAGGTATTTAGACTACTTATCTCTCAGTATACAAGAGATAGCCTTTTCTTATTACAAGGTATTTATCTATGTTGAGGATATATTCATATTAAATAAAATATTTTAAATGAATAGGAGTATTAACAAGATATTAGACCTTAATGAAGTGCAAATTCCACAAGAGTCCAGAACCTGAAGAATAAAGCAGCCATGAGCTGGCCTCTTAATTATTCTTAACATTAAATAATAACAACTTGGCCTAAGGATTTAAAAACATAACCATAATGCTTAGAAACTCAAAATAACATGTAGATATTAAATCTCCATTAAAGAGAAACTAACGGCAATTTTAGTATTTATAGGTTATTAACAAGTTATTTTTCCCTCATAGTTTTTCACTTTGCTTTTCTTTGTTTTGTTTAGTGCTCTTCTGCTGTTTAAAAAAAAAAAAAAGTAGACTAAGGTAAGGTAAGCCACTCATCCTATTAATAACCATGCCCAGCATTTTCTCTGTGCCTAACACTGTTCACGGCACTAATCACCTTCCAGGGCATCGGATAAACAGATGTTACCTGTCACATAATGAGATAGGACTGTGAGGGGAGTAATGTTATGCTATACCCAATAGGGAGAGTATAAGAAGCTATCCATGTCTTTGTTTAGGAAAAAATACAAAATCATTTTCTTAGTTAATCTAAAGAATAAAGTTATTATTTAGCTAATAAGAGAAACTGAAATTATGGACTACTCACCCCAATGTTAAACATTCCTGTAAAATACTCCATATTTGCTTGAATGAACCAAATGTTGTTCAAACCTAGTTCGTCACTTCTCTTCTTAGCACGGATTAATGATAATTCCTTGTTTTCTATTAATATAACCTAGATTTTATGCAGAAAGAAATCCAGTATACTCAGTAACACAATTCAGACATTAGTGCTGAGCATTATAGCTATATTTCATATCTTAATAATAATGCAGAATGTATTTACTAATCCTCTGTCTTGTATGATACATTTTGTACCTGGTACAAAATGAACAATGTCTTGAACTCTTGAAGTTTAGCAGGTAATGATACAAGTGAAAGAAAGAAACAACAGCGTGTTACACGTTCAGCCTGAAGTGTAATGGGAACTCAGACTTGGAGACTAAGGCGGGTTTTCATGGAGAAATAACATCAGCAGAGGCCTGAAGATGAACAGAGATTAGCGAAGGGAACGGCTTGGCCTAAGGAAGATTGTGGTATATCAATACTGAAGAGCTGAGAAACCTGACAGGGTTTGGCACAGTACATGGTGATAATGAGCGTGGGAAAGAGGGGCAGGGTGTAAAGGATGGGGATGAGGTGGAAGAAATAACGGGAGGCCATATCATGTATTTATGATAAAGAAGGTTCCAGAAGCTGCAGTGAATAGCTTGGATTGGTGGGGTGAGGCCGAAGGCAGAAGGAGCCTCCAACAGTAATCACAGGTAGAATTAAAGACATTGTTATCATTTATTTTTTCCTTAAGCACACTTTATAGAAAAATACTATATCACTTTACATAAACACTTGATATACAGTTGATATTAAAAACCTTCTGGTTTTATCTAGCTGAAGCCCTTGTCCGGGTCAGTCTATCTAAGTTTCCAAGAGAATTACTAGAAAGGGGAAAAGATGCCCTCCGCCCCCACTCTGCCTCTCAGGACTCTGCCCTGTGAGTCCCTCCTCTCAGCCAATCCTAAAACTGTTTTCCCCAACACTACAACAGGGCTCGCCTCTTCTCCTTCAACTTTGATTTATTTTGCTCTTTATTCTCTAAAGCAGTGATTCCCAACCTTCCTAATGCTGTGACCCTTTAATGCAGTTCCTCATGCTGTGGTGACCCCAACCATAAAATTATTTTCGTTGTTACTTCCTAACTGTCATTTTGCTACTGTTATGAATCATAAGGTAGATACTTTTGGAGACAGAGGCTTGTCAAAGAGGTCGCGACCCACAGGTTGAGGACCACTACTCTAAGGAAACTGCAACCCCCACCCCAGTCATTTTCCACCAGGTGTCTGACTGTCTGTCAGCTCTAGGTTTTCTTCTCACAGCAGTCAGTGACTGGAGAGCTCACACTCTGCCCCAGTTGACTATATAATATTTTTAAAAAATGACATTTTTTTAACCAGATAGTTTATGTTAAGATATAGTCCTTGGTAACATTTCTAGTTGTGATTGTGTTGAAAATTAAGTTAGCTTATTCATATTCATTTTGTTCAATAATGGAATAGGTACCTGTTTTACTAAACATATACACTTTAAAATACTAGTAACTCTACTGTAGTCTTACTATCCTTTTGCCCCCAGTTAAGATTCTGATCTTAGGAGTTATGTGTCACATATTTGACTTGATGAGTAAGTAATTAGCAATGCAGAGGTAGGATTCTGCGGACATGGCCCTGAATTGGACTTCCTAACCTGTTCCACCGGGTCTCTTATTCACCCTTACCTGGCAAGAGGGCAGCATATGTGCAAGAACAATTCCAACATGGCCCTGAAAAGTGAGACAAAAAAGTTAACTTTGGTTCCCATGGCTTTTGTTCAGTGTCAGACAATGATTTTGCCAAATAAAATCATGATCTTGAATGTAATGTTGCAAGGTCTCATGATCATGGAAAGTCTAAAGGACAAGAGAGACATATGATACCCCGCCACTGCAGAAATCCACAATTCTGTCACCAGGTTTGGCTTGATTTAGCACCACGTAAGCAAGGTTGTTCAACTGTTGCTGCTTCCTCAAAGCTCGGTCAGTGGACATTTTGCCTGGGGAAGATAAGAGATGAAGAAAACATTTAGCATTGTGAGGGACCAATCAGACAGAATGGACAGGCTGTTAGGATAGAGGAAGAGTGTCATATGTGCATATGTCCACATGTATACACATACACATCAAAGAATGAACTACACATTTCATGTAATTCCTGTGAGCTAGAGAAGTCGAACCCAGAGACTAGCTCTACTTTTGATTATATTACTTTAATTAATGTGTACTTGAATGCTTGACCCCAGCTGGTAGAGCTGCCTTCTGGAGAGGTTATGGAACATCTAGGGTTGAGAGGCTTGCTGAAGTCACATCACTGGGAGGGAGGGAAGACTTTTGAGGGTTTTCAGCTTTAACCCACTTCCCATTATCTCTCTGCTTCCTGTATGCTGATGAAAATGTGACCAGTCTGTTTCCTGTTCCTGCTGCATGCTTTTCCAACCATGACAGACTTTCCCTCTGGAGCCCAAAAGCAAAAGTAAACTGTTTCCTCTATAACTTGTTTTTAGTCCTGGGATTTTATCATTCCAACAGAAAAGTAACTAACACACTATGCAACTTTTCTTTCAGCGAAGACAGCTTCTTCTAAAGAGTACAAGTAATAGCTGAAAAGTTAAATTCGGAACCATAAAGGCTTTAATCAATTTGAATACATGAAGAGAAAATAATATTCTAGTCCTCCATTGCTCCCAGAGATACGCTGTAAAAGATCACCAACTTCAACACTGCTTACATCTGCTTACAGAGTTCTACTGAGAACACTTTAGTGTTTTTGATCTCCTTGAGCTCTTGATTCTTTTGGTGGGACTCTGAGAAACCAGGGACACAGGTGTCATACAGTCAGAACTCTATCAATGGTTACTGTATTCAGAGGGAAACGGATTTTCCTTTCCCACATTAAAGCTTCCTTTCCTCATGAGCCAGACATTGAAATTTAATGCAATTAGGGACTAAAGATGGGCATTTCCAAGTATGAAATGCTCTAGGGCCAGCAGCATGACATCACTGCAACTCCTTTTCAAAAGCCCACTTGTGGCATTCCCAAAACATCCTTAGAAAGATGAATAGCATTGTTGTTTATGTATAAAACACATTTCTTCAGTTTGATAAAAAATATGTAGAGATGTCAAAATTTTCTTGCTCCAATTTAGAGAAAAAAATATAATTTTTAAGAGAAAAGAATAGAATATATTTTATCTTTCCTTTTCCCATTTTCCTTCTTTCTTGTGTTACTAAATTAAATTTTAAAGCTAGTAAAATTTTACTATAAAAAATAAAATCATAATATCCACTTTCAAAAGTAACATTGACAAACATATCTCAAATCCTTAACTTTCTAGCCATATATAAAATATTATATTACACAGTTGTGCTGTGTATTTGAAAATTGTCATGATAAAAGCTCAGGTGGTCTTCATGAAAAGTAATACTACAGGGACTCATTTATTCTGTGTGTAAATGTTTATAATGACATTGTTAGAGGAAAATGAGTATTCTCTTAGAATAAAAAGCCACATTAAACTATCTTCACAAATGAGATCACTAGATTGGTTTTCAAACTCGTAATTTTTGAAACTCAGGTTAGGCATGGTAAATTATTGAGAATGTGTAAAAATTGAGCCATGTGACAACAGTTGTATTATTGAATATTGAACTGAACAATAGAACATAGGTTATTAAAAAAAATATCTTTTTATGTCAGTACATTCGTCTCTAAGCATATACTGTAATGGTATATACTATTACACTGATTATGTATACACCTTGGTTTCAATAACCTATGTTCTATTGTTCAATTCAATATTCAATAATACAACTGTTGTCACATGGCTCAATTTTTACACATTCTCAATAATTTACCATGCCTAACCTGAGTTTCAAAAATTACGAGTTTGAAAACCAATCTAGTGATCTCATTTGTGAAGATAGTTTAATGTGGCTTTTTATTCTAAGAGAATACTCATTTTCCTCTAACAATGTCATTATAAACATTTACACACAGAATAAATGAGTCCCTGTAGTATTACTTTTCATGAAGACCACCTGAGCTTTTATCATGACAATTTTCAAATACACAGCACAACTGAAACAATTTATCAGTGAACACTTCTGCACTAGTTTTCATTATTGCACTAAATACCTAAGGCAGGTTACTTTCCAAGAAAAAGAGGCTCAAAGTCCCACCCTGACAATACTAGCTGCTTTGAGGGCCCACAGCACATGACAGAAAAACAAAGGTACACAGTGAGGCAGGAAGCTTCAGACATTAGGGTTGGGTTGACGTCTAAAACACCAAAACTGATTTGTTAATTGACTGGTTGGCTGTATGTGTCTGTATGTTTATGTCATGGAATGTGTGTAGACGTCAAAGACAACTTGCTTGGGAGTCAGTTCTTCACTTTATTTATCACGTGGGTCTTAGGGATAGAACTAAGGTCATCAGGCTTGGCAGCAAACTTTTCTGGCTGAACCATCTTGCTGGCCCAGGCTCAGATTTTTATAATAACTTTTCTTTTGTAGAATTTACCAGGAGACTAATACATCACCCCAATGACCTATGACCTCCCACTAGGAATACCTGCTATGAACAACATCAAAACCATGGCAGATTGTAGACAAATTTCTAAATGCTTTTATTAAGTAAAAAACACAGAGCCAGAAATAGGGGTGAAAGCCTTAAAGAGATCAGGGAAATAGGGAAAGCTACCAGCCCACCTTACCTCACCAACTCTCAGCTTCCAAATGTGAGTTACTTCCTGTCTACCCACGCCTTTATTGCCTTGCTGTTCTGCCCTCTCATTGGCTCTCTTAGCCCCGCTACCTCACTTCCTCTTCCTACACAGCTCTGTCAGTTTCTGTCTGTCTGTATAGACCTCCAGGCCTCTATGGTGGGTACTGGGATTAAAGGCGTGTGTCACTACACTTGGCTCTGTTCCCTAGTGCGGTCTTGAACACACAGAGATCCTGCCTGCTAAGGGATAGGATTAAGGGCATGTACTTCTGCTGCCTGACTTCTTTGTTTACTTAAAATGGCTTGCTATTTCCTCTGATCTCCAGGCAAACTTTATTTATTGAAGCACAAATAAAATATCACCACATTTCCCTTTTTTGTCTAATAAAAATAAAAAAGTTATAACCAATCTAAAAAACTATATACAATATAAACAAGCAATAAATACATCAACAATGTTTAGTCCATTTGCATTTGACAAATTCAGGGAAAATATTCCATCATTTATGCTATTTTGGTGAGTCCAAAATGTACCTAATTCACTTTCTATCCTAACTTATATTACCAACAGAAAACTATCTTATGATTTCTTTCAAACTTATGACACTTAACACTTAGTGAGTTTCTTTTCTGAATTTCTTAACAAGGAAAACTGTAACTATAACTATCTAATCTTCAACTCCTTCAGAGACCTGAGAAGGAAATATTACCTAGTAAAACAGAAAGTGCAAACAAGTGACTTCTAAAAAATGAGTTATGACAGAAACAGCCAGCTGCCTGGACAGTCACCTGAGGTTTCTCTGCACATTGGGGCATGATCTTCGGCCTACAGGCTTAGCATATCTGACAGACTCATTTGTGAAGTGGGATGTACACAAGGCCTATTCCATGTACCAGATAAACTTGAATTCCACCAGTGTCCTATCATGATTCAGGATTTTAAATCCTGGAAATTGCTGGTGTTTTTGGAATTCGGCTGCCCATTCTTCTCGGCTTGTGGGTGGCTTCATCTCTTTTATTAAATGCCAGTCTACCATTGAGAGGTTAGACTCCATCAGCCTCGTTACTCCTTCAAGAATAACTGTTTCAGGTACTGTTCCACTGCAGCAGATTCTACGCCTTCCACGTAGCTTCTACCATTAATAACTCACTGTATGGGATGCATCACACTCCTGTTCATCTTTCCATCTGACCATCCCAGTTTGTCTTAAGAGACTAAGACTATGGGAGATGAAGGTAGGGAAGATGGCTTGGTGGGTAAAGGTGCTTGCCTCCAAGCCGGATGATCTGAGTTTATCTTGTGACCCACATGATGGAAGGAGGCAACTAAGTCCCATATGCTGTCCTCTGATCTCTCGTGTGTACTCCATGAAATGCACATGCATGTACACACACGTAAGTGAAATAAGAATAAAGGAGAAGAGCAGCAAAGTCAGAAGACAATACACAAGTAAAGGTGTTGTGGGTATTTGTTCCGACAATATCTTTGGAGTACCAGCCTCTTGGTGGGTTATGTGACTGCTTAAAATCTGAGGAGGGGGTGCGTATTCTCTCTTGGGATGATCAAAGACCTGAACACTGGGATCCATTTGCTCCCGGGAGAACGGAGGACAACGATGGCTGTTTACTTGGTTCTGTATTCGTGAGTGTACTTTTCCCCATTTCATATCTTAATAAATCCTTGCTACCCCTTAAACAGACTCTCGTGGGTTTCGTATAACCAAGTGTACTTTGAGGGTCTGTCTGAGATCTAGAGTTCCAAATGCTGCTGCTAAGTGGCCACAATGAGGCAAAGAGTGAGCACATGTATTTATGTCTTTTCCCTATCTGTAAAGTTTCATAAGACAAAAAGAAATTCTATTTTTTTTGTAGAAAAGAAAATTATTAAATGGAGTGTCTAGCTGCAGTCCTGTAAAGTGCTTCTATCAAAAACTCAGAATGGCATAACTCCCTTATGTGTGTTTCAAAAGCAAGCTCCGGTAAAGACTTGCCTTCCTACAGCCGTCTTTGTATGTAAACACATCTACACCAAAATGAAGGGTGAAGACAGAGAGCTTTTTAGATTTGTGTTTAAGTAGAGGGACTACTAGGTTCATACAGTATTCACAAAGGTTGAGCTAAAAATACAGCATCCAGATGCCTAGATACCTTAATAACTGTCTCCTATTGGAGACATTCTCCATTTATATTATATTGGAGACATTCCAGATTTATAAATATTATAAAACTCCTGGAAACATAAACAGGATCTCAAGTATATTCAACAAGGTA